TCCCACAGGCCCCCACGCCCGGCCCAGCCGGCGTCAGGGCAACGCGCCGCTGACCACAGCTCCCAGCGTACAACGCGCCGGCGGTGCCGCGACTCTAATGGAGGGGGCACGCTGCATGCCGGGAGGCAATAGTCTTCCGGTTTGAGGCTCTCGGCGGCTCACCTTTTTGGTTCCGCTGGGGTTAAAGGGCGAAATGGCAGGCTGGGAAATGTAGTCTTCCTGGAATATAGCCTGTAAGAGTGAAAGAACAGGAAGAGAAATAACGGTATTAAAAAGATAAGAGTTGAGGCTGGAAGAGGTGGGGCCTGCCTGTAATCCCAGGGCTCTGGAATGCTCGAACAGGAGGATCGCAAATTCGAACCCAGCCAGGCGATTTAACAAGACCTTGTCTCAAAATAAAAAAGGCTTGGGAATTGTAGCTCAGTATTGCGTTCAATCCACAGTACCACCAAAAAAATTGAAAAGAAGCTGGAGGTTTTGCCCAGTGGGAGGTATATCCCTGAGATCAATCCCCAGCACCTAAAATAATAATAATAATTAACATTGTGCAGTCAGTTGTACAAAGTGCTTTACATATATTATCCCATTTAATTTTTTCCAACTGTTTTGTTTTGTTTTTTGTACCGGAGATCGAACTCAGGACCTTGCACTTCTGAGGCAGGCGGTGGCACCACTGAGCTAAATCCCTGGCCCTATCACATTTAATTTTTATAAGCAGCCAATGACAGATAATACTCGTTCCTATTTAATAAGTGAGTAAACCAAGCCTCAGAGAAATGGAACGACTGTCTAGTGTAATATACTACTGTATTCCTATCTGCAAATGCTGTTTACTCTGCCTGGAATGTCTTTCTACTATTTATTCACCTAACTGGCTTTTTAAAACCTAGAAGAGTTTAAACTGCCTTGGCCCTGCAATTTAAAACCTTCAAAACTGCAGCACCTGCCCTAACTACCTGAAAAAGTTACTGCTACTCTGTGTGCTTCCCTTTTCGCAATTGAAAACTGGAAATGATGATTAACAACCTCCCAAAAGCTTGTGTGAGATAGGGAATCTAAAGAGCTTATTGGGGCCCAGGGATTTAGCTCTGTGGTACCGCACCTGCCTCGCAAGCACAAGGTCCTGAGTTTGATCCCTGGTACTGGGTAGGAAAAAAAAAAACAATAACACTAAAGTGCTTACTTACTAGGTTGACCTGGGCACACAGCAAGCAGCATGGCATATACTCAACGCTGTTTTTTATTCCTACATGGTCTAGATCATTATTATGGGCATTAATGGGTAATTGAGAGTCGGGGATTTAGCTCAGTGGTGCCATCGCCTGCCTTGCAAGCGCAAGAACCCGAGTTCCATCCATATACATATATATGTGTGTGTGTGTGTGTGTGTGTGTGTGTGTGTATGTATGTGTATATATATATATATACATATATGTGTGTGTATGTATATATACACATACATATGTAATTGGACGGGGACCCAACACTTTGAAAACTACAAGTGTCGCGGACTTTATATTCCTCCTACAATGAACAGGCCCACTGGATGTAGGGTTCCATATCATTGTTTTTCCTCATCTTTACTATCAAGAATCATTTTCTTGGACTGGCAGTGTATGTAGCTCTGCAGTAGAGGGCTTGCCCAGCGTGTACAAGGTTCTGGGTCTAATCCCCAGAACCACAAAAAACAAGGATATGGCAGGCATGGTGGTACACATCAGAAATCCAAGCACCTAGGAGGCTGAGACAAGAGGATTACCACAAGTTTCAGGCGAGCCTGAACTATATAGCAAGCCCCTGTCTCAACCAAACAAATAAAAAACAAGGATCATTTCTCCATCTTTAATAGTAAAGCTGTGTCTAATAGCTGGTACTTTCTCCAAACCCACATTCTAATTTGATGCTTTCAGTCCTTTGCATTTGCTAGACTTGCATGAAAACAAAGAGTACACCAGTTTTGAATAACGGTCTGAAATGCTGTTCAGTGAGGAAATAATGTAACTTCTTAAGTCTTTTATATTCCCTCCTGAACCTTTCAAATATGTGAAATTGCTTGGGAACAGAGTTTTTAGTAAATGAGAACTTAATGAAATTCTCCTCTATTACTTTACATGGGTGAATCTTGTCTTTTTCCCTAGGCTAAGATCTATGTATAGATAAAAACCAGGCTGTGGATGTTGCTATTATTTCATTCTGCCACAACCTCCACCTGCACATACAGATAGCCATTTCCAGATGATAGGATTCATTTTATTCAACCTTCTATGTGACAAGAAATTTTCAAATGTGAGAGACTTGTTAGAATCAAGAATTCACATCAGCATGAACTGTGAAACCTAAGTCACACTTGTTCTGTAATCGAGACACTCGAATGCTTTCATCAAAGTTTTAAAAAATATTATTGGGTATGGTGATGCACACCTGTAATCCCAGCTACTTTGGATAGCAAGTTTGAGGCCAGCATTGGCAATTTTGAGAGTTCAAGGCCAGCCTGTGCTACATAGTGAATTCAAGGCCATAGCAAGAGCCTGGCTCAAAACAACAAAACAAAACAAAACTACTAAGAAAATGAAAAGATAACCCACATAATGGGAGAAAATATTTGCAAATCCTGTATCTTATCAAGGGATAGTATTAAGAGTGGGGGGCAGGGATTTAGATCAGAGGCACCATGCCTGCCTTTCAAGTGTGATGTCCTGAGTTCGATCCCTGATACAAAAAAAAAAAAAAAAACATATATGTGTGTGGGTGTGTGTCTTGTTTGGAAGAGATCTACATTCTGGGGGTTGAACTTCACATATGCTAACCAAGGGCCAGGGATTTAGCTCAGTAGTTCCAGCTCCTGCCTCACAAGTGCAAGGACTCAAGTTCAATCCCCGGTACCAGAAAACAACAAAAAAAAAGATCTTCAACATATGCTAACCAAATGCCCCTCTACTGAGGTGCATCCCTAGCCCTCAGAATGTATTTTTTAAATCTTATAATTCAATAACAAGAAGACAGACAACCCAATTAAAACGTGAAGCTAGGTGTGATGGCACATGCCTATAACCCCAGCACTCTAGGAAGCTGAGGCAGGAGGATCACAAGTTCAAACCCAGGGTGGGGCCACTTAGTGACTCAGGAAGCCCTGCCTCAAAACAAAAATGTTAAAAAGGACTGAGGATGTAGCTCATTGGGAAGGCCCTGGTTCACTTCCTAGTACTGAAAAAACTCTTGAATAGTTGTTGTTTTTTAATAATAATACAAAAAGTCAATATACTCAAAAAAGATACTCAACGTAAATTAGCCATTAGGAAAATACATCAAAATCATATATCACAACAAGATACTTCATACCTAGAGTAGCTACATTGTAATTAGAAAACAAAACTGAAAATAACAAAGGTTGGCAAGAGTGTGGAAAACTTGGAAATCTCATATGGAAAACAATTTAGCCAGAGACAGTGGTGCACACCTGTAATCCCAGCACTCAGGAGGCTGAGGCAGGAGGATCACTGGGCGTTTGAGGCCAACCTGGGCTGCACAGTGAGCACAAAGCTAGCCTAAACTACATAGCAAGATCTTGATTTAAAAAACAAAAAGACAGCTTGGGAAATCTTCAAAAAGTTAGACATAAAATTACCACATGACTCAGCAAATCCATTCCTAGGTTTATACCCTGGAAATATATGTTCACACAAACACACACCAGTGTTCACAAAAATATTCATACTATCCAAAAAGTAAAAACCACCTACTGCCAAGTGTGGTGGCACATACATGTAATCCCACCAATTGGGAGGCTGAGGAAGGAGGATCTCTTCAAGCTTGAGGCAAATTTGGGCCACAAAGTGAGACTAAATCCAACCTGAACTACAGAGCGAGACTGTCTAAACAAAACAAAACAAAACAAAACATCTATTGTCCATTAATAGATAAATGAACAAACACAGTGTTATGTGTCCAAATAATGGAATATTATTCAGCCTTTAAAAGAAATGGAAAAAGAAGAGAGAAAAATTAAAATTGAAAAAGGAATGAAATATTGATTCATGGTACATTCATGGGTTAACCTTTAAATTCTATGCTAAGTGACATACCAGATACAAAAAGACATACATTGTATGATTCCATTTAGAGATAGCAAATTAGTGCTTGCCAGGTGCCCAGGAAGGAGAAATGGGGAGAGAATACTTTCTGGGTTCATGGTATTTTGCTGGAGGGGGAGGATGATGAAAATGGAACAGAACTAGATAGTGGTAATGGTCACACAATATCATGAATATACTAAAGAATACTTAATCATATGCTTTAAAATGGTGAATTTTACCTCAGTTTTAAAAAATTGTATGTGTAAGCCGGGCATGGAGGCGCATGCCTGTAATCCCAGCACTCAGGAAGCTGAGGCAGGAGGATCGCTGGGAGTTCAAGGCCAGCCTGGGCTACATAGTGAGCTCCAGGTCAGTCTCAACTACATAGCAAGATCCTGTCTCTAAAAAACAAAACAAAAAAAAATTGTATGTGTAAAGGAACATGCTTTGGTGCCCACCACAAAGACCCAGATTAGAACTGGGGTGGGGAAAGACTCATTTGGCCAGTAGCAGAATCCAGGCTTATTGGGTGTGAGGTTTTGGGTTCAACCCCCAAAAGAAAAAAATAAAGAGTAGAATTGAGGCTGTGCCATCCTTCCCTATGCTTTCACCTGCTTCAGTTCCTCCAGTCTTGAAACAAAAACGACACTGTCTTCCTCACCGAGCTGTTCTGCCATCCAATGAGAGCACAGGTAAAGGGGCTGGCCCAGAATATGTATCCAGTAAATATGTACTAAACAAAAAAGTTATAGTAGAAAAAGAATAACCATTAACATTGAT